CGGAATTATTTTACTCTTTTATTACGCTTTTAAAAAATTATTTCATAAATAATTAAGCTTTACAAACTATTATAACACTCAAATACTTATAACGTCTAGATTTATAACAGAAATGACTGTTTTAACTTAGTGCACTTGTTATGGACAACTAAGAGACCTGTCTGCGCCTAGGTATACCTAGGTATAGTGGTTGTTACACACATACAGTGTTTCTTCCATGCATCTCTTCGAAATGGAATTTATATATAAAATATATAATTTTAACAGTGTCCACCCACACCCCCCCCCCCTACCCAAAATTTCAAGTGCCCCCCCCCCCCCCCCCCCGGATAAAAAAGTCTGGAAGAAACACTGCATGCATACATAGGAGGGTATAAATAATCGGCAAGCAATGAAATCACAATTGACGGCGTCAGTTGATAGATATGCTATGACCTTCAACCCAAGGTCAGACGATAAGGTTAGCCGAGTGTCAGCGTGACATCAATAATCCCAGCTCAAACCAAGATCAAAGAGTTAATCTCTGTATACACGTCTGGCACAGTAAAGGTGTGTAGCTGTGTGTGTAGGGGTGGTTCAGCCAGCTTATGGTTGAATCTGCTTCAAGTTTAAAGTGACTGAACGTATATTTTTTGTCGTGTTTAGTATACGATATATCAGTTGGGTGGCAGAGCGTATATTTTCTGTGCTGAGGTTTGCTAAACTAAACCCCAATATCCCAGTACCTGCCGTAAGAGGGCGCTGCGACACTGACGTCCCAGACAGATGTAGTGCGAGGCTTGGCAGATAAAATTTTTAGTCTGTTTTAATTTGGCTTGCTGATGAAATGCCAAACAGGCTTCAGGTGGTGATTTACGTGTGACAGAGGCGTAGCTCAATAGATGTGCCAAGTGGGGCCAGTTACCTACCTCGTTGTGCCAACATATCTGACAAGTTATGGGACATGTTGACATCGTACATTTAACATCACATTCACATGTTTACCTTGGTACATCTAACATCACATTCAGATGTTTACCTTGGTACATCTAACATCACATTCTAATGTGTTTACTTTGGTACATCTAACATCACATGTGTTTATCTTGGTACATCTAACATCACATGTGTTTACCTTGATACATCTAACATCACATGTGTTTACCTAAGTACATCTAACATCACATTCCATGTTTACCTTAGTACATCTAACATCACATGTGTTTACCTAAGTACATCTAACATCACATTCTAATGTGTTTACTTTGGTACATCTAACATCACAAGTGTTTATCTTGGTACATCTAACATCACATGTGTTTACCTTGGTACATCTAACATCACATGTGTTTACCTTGATACATCTAACATCACATGTGTTTACCTAAGTACATCTAACATCACATTCCATGTTTACCTTAGTACATCTAACATCACATGTGTTTACCTAAGTACATCTAACATCACATTCTAATGTGTTTACTTTGGTACATCTAACATCACATGTGTTTATCTTGGTACATCTAACATCACATTCTAATGTGTTTACTTTGGTACATCTAACATCACATGTGTTTATCTTGGTACATCTAACATCACATGTGTTTACCTTGGTACATCTAACATCACATGTGTTTACCTTGATACATCTAACATCACATGTGTTTACCTAAGTACATCTAACATCACATTCCATGTTTACCTTAGTACATCTAACATCACATGTGTTTACCTAAGTACATCTAACATCACATTCTAATGTGTTTACTTTGGTACATCTAACATCACATGTGTTTATCTTGGTACATCTAACATCACATTCAGATGTTTACCTTGGTACATCTAACATCACATGTGTTTACCTTGGTACATCTAACATCACATGTGTTTACCTTAGTACATCTAACATCACATGTGTTTACCTTGGTACATCTTACATCACATGTGTTTATCATGGTACATCTAACATCACATGTGTTTATCTTGGTACATCTAACATCACATGTGTTTACCTTGATACATCTATCATCACATTCACATGTTTACCTTGGTACATCTAACATCATATGTGTTTACCTTGGTACATCTATCATCACATTCACATGTTTACCTTGGTACATGTAACATCACATGTGTTACCTTAGTACATCTAACATCACATGTGTTTACCTTGGTACATCTAACATCACATGTGTTTACCTTGGTAATCTAACATCACACGTGTTTACCTTGGTACATCTAACATCACATGTGTTTACCTTGATACATCTAACATCACATGTGTTTACCTTGGTACATCTAACATCACATGTGTTTACCTTAGTACATCTAACATCACATGTGTTTACCTTAGTACATCTAACATCATATGTGTTTACCTTAGTACATCTAACATCACATGTGTTTACCTTGATACATCTATCATCACATTCACATGTTTACCTTGGTACATCTAACATCACATGTGTTACCTTGGTACATCTAACATCACATGTGTTTACCTTGGTACATCTAACATCACATGTGTTTACCTTAGTACATCTAACATCACATGTGTTTACCTTGGTAATCTAACATCACACGTGTTTACCTAAGTACATCTAACATCACATGTGTTTACCTTGGTACATCTAACATCACATGTGTTTACCTTGGTACATCTAACATCACATGTGTTTACCTTGATACATCTAACATCACATGTGTTTACCTTGGTACATGTAACATCACATGTGTTTACCTTGGTACATCTAACATCACATGTGTTTACCTTGGTACATCTAACATCACATTCACATGTTTACCTTGGTACATCTAACATCACATGTGTTTACCTTGATACATCTAACATCACATGTGTTTACCTTGGTACATCTATTATCACATTCACATGTTTACCTTGGTACATCTAACATCACATGTGTTTACCTTGATACATCTAACATCACATGTGTTTACCTTGGTACATCTATTATCACATTCACATGTTTACCTTGGTACATCTAACATCACATGTGTTTACCTTGGTACATCTAACATCACATGTGTTTACCTTGGTACATCTAACATCACATGTGTTTACCTTGGTACATCTAACATCACATTCACATGTTTACCTTGGTACATCTAACATCACATGTGTTTACCTTGGTACATCTAACATCACATTCACATATTTACCGTAGTGTTTATTTGTATTTTATTTGATAACTTGTTCAGGCTGTTTAGAAAACACTACATCTGTCAAGTTACGTGAAAAGTAAACTTGACAGCATCTTTATAATTTTGTTATTATAAATGTGATATGTTCGTCAAACATGTTAGCGCATAAAAATGGCATATGTAAAAGTACACTCACTCCTATGACGTGTTTTAAAGTACAAAAAAAAAGAAAAAAAAAACCTACATGCACACGTTACAATTGATGAGCCAAAACAATAAATCAGTGTATTTTGCGGAATTTTTTTTGGTCGACTTTCATTAACGTCAATTAGCGTCTGTTGGAGAGGGTAGTTTGTTATAAGCCGTTCTTTCTATATTTACTTGAGTGCAGATATCCAGGTGAGTTTGTTACGTCATAGAGGTACGGTAGGTAAGAATAGCGCTGTTTCATCATCATTATTTTCCAAGTTTTCAAGTTCGGTTGTAGTCTACAAACATCTGTAAATGTTACTCAGCATGTAATTGTAACTTCTAAGGGGTCCGCGCGTTTTTCCTCGAAATGTAGATACAAGAATGTTTCAAAACCACCTTTGTGATGGAGTGGGGCACAATCCCCCACACCGTGCCACACACAATCCCCCACACCGTGCCACAACCGTGCTACAACCCTCCCCTCCCACACAATGTGCTACAGCCCTCCCCTCCCACACAATGTGCTACAGCCCTCTCCCCCCCACCTCGTGACCCCCCCCCCCTGTATTGATCTGCTATGTCTGGGCACTGACGTAAGACGGTTCTAGACTTGCTAAGTAAATCCCAGCGTCTGTTTGCCTAGCTGCTAGTTCTCAGCGCTTGAACAGACTCTAAGAAAACGATACAGTCATCAATCCTACATCAATAATGCTGGCATATTGCATTGGGACCGTAGAGATCTGAGGAGAGGGTAGGGTCTGTTAGGTAGTCAATCAATAGAGACAGTAACATTTGTTACAGATGGTATAGGTTGTGTTACCATAGAGCTCAAACATACAGACCGTTTATGTTCTCGTATTTTTGTTTCTCTTGTTGCGGAATTTTGTTTAATTACAGATGTAATATCTGCGTATTGGTTAACCTACTAAGAGAGATAACCCACATTTTCAGTCGACTTTCTTTTTAAAAAAAGTACACACTAGATGTTGCCTCGATTGTTTCCCTTTATGAGCAGAGCGCCGATATAAGCCGACATGCCTGCACGCGTTACCTGTAATCCTATAAATATTGTTCTAGCGCAGAATCGTATCATTGGCCGTGTGCGTGTTGCTGCACACGCACGCACACTCGGCGGGTTAGTTCAAGTCAGGCGATTGTTTTATCAGTCGATCGTTCCTTGAGTCTCCTGCCGCGTCAACTATGCCAGGATTTTACGACAAGAATTCTCGTGCTTTCTGATGTTCATCAAATGGTTGTTGAATAAAAGATTTGCGCACCAATTACGTTTTAAACACCCCCTGTTTTAAGCCATATGTTGACATAGTTGATGAGACAAGAGGGTGAATCGGCTCAAATGTCGATTGAGTGCGATCAATATTATCACGAGGCAAGAGAAAAATGAGAGCAAACAATTATTATTTTTAATGATATCAGTATGAGTCAAGGGCATTGACAGTTTATTTTTAACTTAAAATATAAACCTATGTTTTTTAGTCCAAATTATGCTGATGTTTTCTCTCTTTACACAAAAGGGTGGTGACTCGGGTATTGCTCGAAATTATAAATATTTGATTCAATATTTTGATTTTTGTTGTTCCGTATTTGACTACACTTAATTATTTGTATACAACTAGATCTATACATTTTGTGTCTTGTGCTATCCTCAGAAGCCTAGGGACATCGAAGTCAAATATGCCGTGTAGACAACTTCAGCGCGGCAACTCGCCAAAGTTACATGACCAGGTGAACCAGGAAATGAATGATTTAGGTTAGTTCTAAATTCTAATTGGCTGTTCAAAGAAATAATTTTTTCTACTGTTTAGTCTGCAACACATCTGTTTAGTCGGACGTCAGATTTGTGGCAAAGTGGTGCTTCTGTTTGTTTTGACGTTTAGAATTTGGTGATCTTATTTTACATTAAGTTTAAGATTTAGGTAATCTAGATTTCTAGACCTGCTATTTTTTAAAACCAAGAAAGACAAAAGTTCGTACTCTTAATTTGAATCTTTGTTGTTTATTAATGTTTATACTTTATTATAGAACGCTAAAAAAAGTAAATAAAGAAATGATGTGTAATGTGTATTAGCTAGATCTAGACTTAGTAGCTAGAGTTAGTCTAGCTAGACTAGAGAGATCTAGAGTAAAGTTCCACGCGCGGTCACACATAGCGAACTCCCGACTTTCATCGGGCGCTATTTTGTAACCGTTTAACACAGAAACAAACCCAATGTACTATATTATTCCTCTGCCTTTCTACTCTTAATATGTATCAATCATTTTATATTCCTACGCATTGAATTTGAGATATTCATGTTTTAGTGACGTGCTACTTGCGATGTTTTTTTCCCCTCTTTTTTTTTCCCTGCGGACATCTGAACCGGCTTGCGTAACGATCGTGTTTTATACGTTTTAATCCTAGTTTAATAAATAAAATAAATATTTTACACTTTTAAACGTGTTGTTGATTGTATTATTAATTAATAGATTTCAAAACCAAATTAAAAACATGTTAATTAAATTAATTAACGACATTAAAAGTTGACCCAGTGATGACTCAAGGGACGCAACTATAATAATCATAACAAAGGGACGTAACAACCACTGACAAGACATAACGTAACATTTGCTTAGATATGCTTGTATATAGAGACACAAACTAGATTTAGAAGAAGTAGATGATCGAAATAATTTAAAACAGCAGAATAAAATAGAAATTATACAGATTCTAGTCTTAGCTTGAAATGTAGAGCATCTAGAACTAGGCTAGTCTAGCTCAAGTCGTTGGTTACGCAGCGCGGTGAAACCACCCAAATCGACACCCAAGCTGCGGACACCCCTATTTACCTATCAGGTTGCTTTATTAGCCTAATCTATCGTATGTACAGTGTCCCGCACATATTGTAGAAGCTATTTATAGTTAACCTAGTTATAAAAAGCTTTGATTGGTTGGTTTATTCATCTCATCCGGGACCTAGTGTTTTTCATACGGGGAACTAGAATCGCCTTCGACGTCATACCTCGAAACTTTAAAATTTAAAAACTCGACTTCCAGAAGGAGAAAAACAAAAGAATTTGACCTGGACATATTTAGAAATGGACAGGTTTACAGCAGATATCGGTAGTTTCGTATAAAACATCAAAACAAATATTGTACGAAGCGATAAACAGGCGATGACCGCACCGGTGTTTTAACCGCGCGTGGAACTTTACTCTAGATCTAGAATCTAGCTAGTAGAAGATCTAGATTGTAGCTGTGATTCTTAATCTAGCTGCCAGTATTTAGATCTAGATCTAAGTAACAGTAATTCTACAGCTAAGACTACTCAGAGTCTAAGACAAGTCTAGCCATTTTCAATATTGGTTCTATTAACATGAGAAAACAAAGAAATTATAAAATATTTAACAATTGTAAAATGCTTCAAATATGTCTGAGACTTTAAACTTAATTGCCACTATAAATAAAAAAGTAATGACATGTAAAAATTTTGTATTTCTCTTTTTACCTAGTTTCCCCCAGTAGTCAGCCTTTCCTGCAGGATCCAACACTTGTAAGAAACTTGGACAGAATGGCAGAGGTCAGTGCTGGACCAGTGTACAACTCACTAACAGAACCAGTCAGCCCCAGCTCCTCAGAGAACAGCATTGTTGTAGAGGATGGGACAGTTAAGGTTAAGAGGAAGCTAGGCCTTGTGTCTGGCACGGCACTCATTGTTGGCACCATGATAGGTAAACATCTTGTTGAGAAATACTTTCTTCTTTAAATAGCTTAGTTTTAGTTTATTAATTTAAAGTTGTAAGTATCCTGTAATGTTTAACATAATTATGACACTATTTTTCACTATTGTATATTTAGCTGAACAGGTTTAAAAAATTTCTTTCATTTTCCTCGCTTCTAAAAATTGAAAAAAATGTTTCTTTTTTAGATCTATATACTTGGAAATTTAAAACAATTTAAATACTTTTTTTTCTCTTGTTTTAAAACAGGTTCTGGAATATTTATCTCACCCAAAGGTGTTCTTGCTGGCACAGGTTCTGTGGCTCTAAGTCTTATAGTGTGGGTGTCATGTGGTATCATCTCTCTTTTTGGTAAGCCACACCTGTTTCAATTAGTTTCTTTAATTAGTTTTGAATGCATGATTGAATTATTTATTTGTAAGATTTAAGCAGTATTTCCATGATATTTATTCAGAAAAAAATGTGTTGTTTTGTTCTGTGTGTTAAGTTCAAAGTTGTAGTTTTGGTGTTTTTGATTTCTTTGTTTTGTTAAAACCATTGGAGGGGGCTACGTGATTTATTTTGCTTATTTTCTCTAAAAGCTTTTATTGTGTGCATTACCATATTTATTTATAGATTTGCTTGAATCATTTTTGTTACATCATTTAAAATACTGTCCATTTTTGTCAGCTAAATTTGCCTTATTTGTTTAAGTTGAGTGTTTGAAATTGAAAAAATAATTAAAGCCATTTTTAAACTAACATTGACTGTTGTGGTCATTTAATTTGTTTTTTTCCTCAGTATCCAATGTGCAAGTTTCTGAACTGTCTGCTCTAAGTTGCTGTCATTCACTGCTTCTCTTTGCACACTGTTTATTTTTTATCCAAATATTCTTCTACGCTAATGTTTAAATATGCCAAATTTTGTCATTGTTTTTGTCTGTTTTTGTAATTTAAATTTTTTTGTGTCTACAAACTAAAAACATTACTTTTCTGATTTATCAAATAACATGAACATTTTGGAATGAAGTCAAATCAAGTTTATTATAATCTATTGTTATTAATGTAGGTCCAATACAAAAACAATAGATGTGTTGTCCTGTTAGTCTTAGTGCTCTCTTTTCTAGTTTTGTGTTGCTGTTTGTTTTGTCTGCATTTGTCTAATGAGTTACGGTGCTGTCTTATCTAGTTTTGTGCAGCTGTGCTATTTGTCTGACTCACAGATCTAGTTTTGTACTGCTGTTTGTCTGCATGTGACTGTCATATGTCAGGAGGGAGCCTCTCTTTGGTTCCCTCCCTTTAATTCAAATGCTTCTTCCTTTTTCTACTGCACAGGTCTCTCAACCATAACCAGAGGTGGGACAGGATGTGGCCTTCACTTGTGTCCATCTCTTGCCCTCTGATTGTAAAGCCCACTCTACCAATCACACAATCTCTCCTGGCTTGTGATTGGCTTGCGGGCTAGTGGGAGGGGCCAAGGCCTCACCTTCCACTCATTCAGTGCACATATCCCCTTATTTTAAGGGAGATATTGGCTGATCTATGTAAGTAAACGCCCAGTCGTTGACTATTTCACTCCACCCACTATTTGTTGGTCTAAGAATTCTGACCATATTAATATGGGTTTAAAAGCTAAAGGAGATCATGCGACTAATTTTTCCCTTCTGAATAAAATCTTGGACAAGAGATGTTTGCAGTATTTTCTACACTTTGAGAATACACTGGTTTCTTCTTGTAATAAAGACACATGAAACATTGCCTGGATATAGATTTTATTTTTTATTTTTTTACATCGGGCAACATACAAAAATTGTTTTGACTTTGAGAAAAAAAATTTAAACAGGGAAGATTGATTGAATTCTTTCAAACAATCTTTCTTTCGTCATTTAGAATGACTCAGGAAAAAAATATGAATCCGTGAAATGTTAATGAAAGTTTTGTAATTCAATAATATTATGGATAAATATACACAAATAAAGTAATAACATACAATACGTTCAATAACCTGAGTGTTTAGTCATTTTAGACTAACTTCAGTGTATATAGATGACCATACTGCAATGCAACGCAGGTTTGTTATACAATATTAAAAATTAGGTGGGTACTCAATTTTCTGCATATGAGAACAGAAACACATTGCAAGGCTTGGGACTCAGGCTGATGTAGACCACAGTCAGTGTCAAGGAGATGGACCATAGTCAGAGTGAAGCTACACAGTAAGAAGGATTAAAGAAGTCACTCACTAAATCTGCTCTAAAGAAATGATGTACAATATGTTGGCAGTTTCTGCAAACCATCATAGAGCAAATAGGATGGATAGGAGAATTCAGAAAATATCCTCACCAATGGAAAGAAGTTCAGGCACAACTGCGTACAAAAGTAGTTTTTAGTTCTACAGTAAAATGTTTTTACAAGTTTGGCAAATACTAATTTCATCAAACCATCATTCTAACAAGTTGTGTAAAAGGGTAATTCATGAAGAAAAGAACTATCAAATTTGACTGAGGGAAGCATTATCACTACATTTGCTTATTCATTTGATATTATTTGAGGAAATGGAACTTTGAAAACATTCTCAGATTAAAAAAAAATTTTTTTTATCAGTTTCTGATTTTCCCACATGTGTTTTGATGAGTTTGCCATCAACTATAAAAGTTATATTGTTGATGAATTCTATCATATAGTACGCAGAACACAAATATTTAAATTATTTTAGTGATGATCTTTCTTTTTATGATTACAACAAAATAAAAAAGACCATGTTTATCTGAGGATTGGAGTTCTCATATTTCTCTTTCCATGTTTCCTTAAATTATCCTGAAGAATATACAACCAAGATCAGCTGTAGACAACACAATGTTATACTGAAATCAAAGCACATTAAATTCTTTATACCATAACAGGGGAAATAACTAGTTTTACATATTCTTAAAAATAGAACTTCAAAGGTATGACCTTTGTTGCAACACCAATGTTATCCACATATTAAACAGAACTGAAAATATATTGTGCTGCATCTCAATAAAACAAAATAATTTTTTTATAATGAAATAAATGGTAATATTATTAAAAACATGGATAAATGTATTGAATTTAAGAAATGCTTGTAAATTATACAAGGCTGTTTTAAAGTATAATTTAAATAAGGCAATTAACCATGAAAAGAAAATGCCAGAAAGAAAACATTTTGAATAAAAATAGTCTGTCAAAATTTTTTCACTTCACTATTGACATTTGATTGAGTTTTTAGGGTAAATAATATTTTATTAAAAAAGAAATATTGCATGAATATTATTTTTTTGAAAATATAATTGATTCTTACTATTTTGAGTATCTGAAGTTTAATTCATAAACAAAATGCTTTTGGTGAAAAAGTTACTTGAGGTTGGTAGGAAATATGAATGATGTATTTATTCGATCATCTTTTGTAGAATTTAATACCAATCTTTTTAGGAAAAACAACAGAAAAGATTACTTGGAAGCTGTTGATTAAAACTATTCATTTTTCTGAATGTAATCTTCAAAGGTATATCGTCATTTGAAATGGTGATGATGATTATAACTAATTCAAGATTTGCTTTTAGGTGGAGATAGAGATTTGATTTCTGTTGTTTATTCTTCAGACTCAGCAAACTAAGTCATCTTTGCCATTTTTTTCTTTCTTATGTAATTATTACTTTAATTTGCAACTTAAACTGAGACTTCAGTTCTCTAGCAGTCTGATTTTTTATTATCTTTTTTCTAAACTAGTAAAAAAATAAGGCTATTTCTATATTGTGATTCTTTATATAAGTTTGAATTAAATGTAAGTTTCTTCTGATAAATATTATAATGTCTGTGTCTGCAGAAAAAGTTGTAAGTATTATGAATAATTTACTTATTGGCCTATAGGGCCCTATGTCTTCAGAAATTTATTATTGTGTCTTGAGAGGATTTAAAACATTGTATGTGTTTGTGTAGCTTCACTTATGGTCTTTTTTCATAGTCATTAAATAAGAATTAAAATAGTGTGTGTTTTTAAATAAGTAATAGAATACTGTGTTTCTTTAAATAAGTAATAGAATAATTTGTTTCTTTAAATAAGTATTCAAATAGTGTGTGCTTTTAAATAAATATTGAAACAGTGTGTGTCTTTAAATAATTAATAGAATAATGTGTGTTTCTTTAAATAGTATTGAAACTGTAGGTTTTTAAATAGGTAATAGAATAATGTGTGTTTAATTAAATAAGTATTGAAACTGTGTGTTTTTAAATAGGTAATAGAATAATGTGTGTTTCTTTAAATAGTATTGAAACTGTGTGTTTTTAAATAAGTATTAGAACAGTATATTTACATTCAGATAAGTATTAAAATAGAATATCTGCATACACTTAAGTATTAAAATAGTGTGTGTAACTTCAGAAAAGTATTATTGTGCGTGACTTAGATTAGCAGTCGTTTTTAAATAAGTGTGTCATCAGATAAAATATAAATTTTGAGTGTCAGAATTATGTGTTAAAGTGTTATGCCTCTTCCATTAGTTTAAGTCATTGTGTGCCTCACAACAAATGTTTATATTTAACTTTTTTCTTTACAGCTTCATTATGCCCAACACTTTTGGATTTGGATGAAATAATTATATTTTTCCTTTAGTTGCAGAATTTCTTATTTTAACAATTTGTGTATGTCTTAGTATGTTTATGTGTCTGACATCCTATCCTTTTGTTGCAGGGCCACCTATTCCAACAACTTTTCTCTGACACAATATGTTGCTGTGGGATTTAGATTTCTCACATGTTCTGTTTTCATCCTGTTTTAAACAGCTAATTATTAAATGTTTTACATTATTTCTGATCATTGTTTGTCTCTTGTTTTAGTCTTTACAATTTAATTAATCTTTTTTTTATTGTTTGATTAATGTAAATATTTTCAGTTAAATACCTTCAGCTGCTCAACGCTTTGTTTTACTTACAATCTTGTATTCATGTTTAAAAAAAATAAAAAATGGATTTTGTTTGATAAAAAACTAGATGAATTTTGAATTATCTTTTTAAGAATGTAATGTTTATCAGGATATAAAAATTAAAACAAGTTGAACTAATAATTTGCTCTTTTTTAAAATAAAAAATTAATCTGCTTTTAAAAAAGCTATTCTTTTTTAAAAGGTCGCCACATGAGCTAAAGAAACAAATTATGCTCATCATATATACAATTTGAAAAGATGCTCATTATTCATTTTTTTCTAGTTTGTTCAAAATTCCTCTGACTCAGAACTCCCAGGATAACCCAACTACTTTGAAGAATTTAGCTTGTCATTAAGTTCCATTTTTCCTTATAGATAACTGTACCATTGTTAGCATTTACATTTCACAATATTTAAAAATCAAACTTATAAATACTACGTCAATTTTCAGTATCACAGTTTACAATTGTTTTACTTTTCTATTCTACACAGGTGCCCTAGCCTACGCTGAACTCGGCACCATGATCACCAAGTCTGGCGCTGAGTACGCCTACCTGATGGAAGCTGGGAAGGGACTGCCCAGGTGGATCGCACCTGTGCCAGCGTTCTTGTTTTCCTGGGTTTCTGTCTTTGTCCTCAAGCCCTGCCTATTTGCTGTCATCTCCCTGAGCTTTGGTATCTACGCTGTAGAACCATTCTATCACGGCTGTGAACCTCCAATGGCATTGATTAAACTTTTGTCTGTTATCTGCATATGTGAGTCTAGAGACTAGTCAAGGGCCTTAACTGCTAGAGTTGGCTTTGTTTTAATAGCTTAAGTACTTTAATTGAGATGTTATCCATATCTTAGAGACTATTGAGATGTTATCTAAATCTTTGAGACAGTGGTAACTCAGTTTTGCATTTAAGTCAGATCTTGTATATCTGTTTGTGTTCTGTGAGTTTGTTAAAGAATCCAAATGTTTTTTTTGCTTTGTAAGGCCTTGTGGCAGCTGTCAATTGTTACAGTGTTGCTCTAGCTACCAGAGTACAGAACTTCTTCACACTTGCCAAACTGATGGCTGTTGGAGTTATTGTTCTTGGTGGATTTGTCATGATATTTAGAGGTGAGGTTTTAATTGCGATTGACATCAAACTTTTTAGCCATCTTTTCAAAATGCTGTAAATTGTTTAAAATTTTTACCATTTAAATATCGCAAGTATACCACATGATGACATTAGGTTTTTTGTATTCATTCTCAAAGTAATTTTTAACTCAGTAATTTTTTGTTTTGTTTTTGCTTTTTGTATTAATTATTTTGTATTCTTTGTATTATTTTTCAGGTAGCACAGAATACATCAATGAAGGATTTGAAGACACATCCCGTGATGTATCCAGTATTGCTCTTGCATTCTATGATGGTCTATGGGCTTATGATGGATGGTAGGTTTTTGACTTTACATTTTAACAAGAACTAGACATATTTTCATACATTTATTTTTAAAATAAAAAAAAAGTTAATTATTGCATTTTATCAAAATTTACATGTGAACACCATTTTTTTTTTTTTAAGATATTAAAATTATTTTAAAATATAATAACAGTAGGCTATCTACTTAAAATGATCTCTTTACCCTGCCATTTTTATTTTTTAATGGCTTAATGTAATTACTAACAAAACTGTTAGACTTGTAGTTAGAAGCATCATTAAATTATCTTGTAATGTATGACCACATAATTTCAGGAATAATTTGAACTATGCAACAGAAGAGCTGAAAAACCCTTATGTGTAAGCAAACATTTTTCAACCTTTCTATACCTTAATTAAAACATATTTTTAAAACAGAAAATAATTATTAATTTTGCTAAATCTATTTTATTTTAAGGGTCATACTTCTTTCTTCTTCTTCGTTCTTAATTTTAGTGTTGGAAGGGATCCCCCTCCAACACAATTAAGGATATGTGTCAACTGGTTTTGCGCCATGAGGCCATTGACTCCAATTTCAGCCTGCTTTTCTTTTTGGATTTGCTTCCATAGCCTTTGTCCAACCAAGAACAAACTACAAGGCAGCAGTTGTTTGATTTTGGAGTTGTCTCTCCTAGAAGAGTGGCTGTCCCCAGCTAACGAGCCTCATCTGCCCGAGGGTTCGAACTCGAGACTTTCCGGTTTAGCAACCATGAGCTTTACGACTCAACCACGCCGACCCCTAAGGGTCATACATAAATGACTTTTTAAAATATTTACCTCCTTCCCCATGGTCACAAAAAGCCAAACTGCCCCTAAATTGATGTCTCACCTCAGCCTACAACTTGCAGTGTTATTCATCAATTTCTTTAAAAATTTACAAAAACACATTTTTAAAAATGTAAATTTATGGCTAAAATTCTGTTACTAGCATTGCTTTTAAAACGCACAACAAACCCCCCTCCCTTCACAAAATTTGAACTCCCCATAAGAGTGATGTCATTTATGGACGACCCTTCAGCTCCACTTCTAATGATGTGCTCAGTATGACGATGTTTTTTTCAGCAATTTACCCCGTGCTATAATGCTTGGGATCCCACTGGTGACATTGTGCTACTTGCTGACCAATCTCTCCTATCTCGCTGTCATGTCTAAGGAGACATTATTGGCATCTAATGCTGTAGCCGCGGTTTGTTTACATACTTTCTACTCTCTTTACTTACATCAGAATTGGTATCAGAAATTATATATGTGATACTATTGTGTTTCTTGCTGGTAACTGTTTAACATTCTATTGTTGATATATGTTATTGGACATTTGTAGCTAATCTGTCTAACAGCTGTTAAAATTCATCTGGCTTAATTAAATTAACAGTTATTTACAAAGTAACCATTTGATACTCATTTCATTTAATTAAATTAATTAGCCATTAATTTATTCCCCTAATTTGACTTAATTAATGGTGTATAACTAATATGATTTAACCTACCAGACATGGGGAGCAGAAGTACTCGGAGCAGCAGCTGTTTTGATTCCAATATTTGTGACCCTGTCAACTTTTGGTGCAGCTAATGGTTCATGTTTTACAGGAGGAAGGTGAGCTCTCACACTTATTTTTTAGACCTTACATCAAGCCTGCCCCCCCCCCCCCCCCCCCACTAATGGTTACCAATTTAGAATTTAGTAAAGATTGATTTTAGCTGCTGTAATAGTGGTTTAATTATGGAATTTTGTTTTCACTTAAAAAAAACCCACTTCAAATCTTTAAGCTGTATTTGCCATGTTTGTAAACCTTAATGCTACTGCTCCAGACTGGTGTATGCTGCAGCCAGAGAAGGCCATTTGCCAGAGGTGTTCTCATACATCCATGTCAAGAAGGCTACACCACTGCCATCACTGTTGCTTACAGTTAGTAGTCCTTGAGTTTTATTTATAGTCAGTAGTTCTGTACAAAGTAGTCTTTATGCATTTACTTCAGGTTTATTTTTCTTTTTAATAATTTCTTTCTATCCTCAAAAACTTGTTTCTATTCTAGGAAAATAAAATTGTAACTGTAACCCTCAGAATAAGTTTTATGTGTCTTATATTATAAATAATTAGGTGTGTAGTGAACTTACGCAGTAAAATCTTTTCATAAAAATGGTATGTAAGAAGAATTTAAAATTTCAGACAACAGTGGCCATAATGATGATGATACCTGGAGATATCTTCAGTCTGATAGATTTCTTTAGTTTTGCTGCCTGGCTGTTCTACGGCGCCACCATGGGCTCAGTGTTAGTGCTAAGATATACCAGACCAGATGCTCCACGGCCCTATAGGGTAAGGTCTACTTTTTAATTACACTTTTGTTGTTCAACTTTTGTTTTTAATTCATGAATTTTAATAGTTCTTAGCCATTGGAATAAATATTATTCCATGAAATTTTACCTGTTTAATTCATATATAGTGTAAATAGAATGTATTGTAGAATTTTTATATTTTCATTATCATCCTCTAAGAGTAAAATAATTTTGTTTTGAAACATCAAATGTTTAGATTTGTCTTTATGTTTCAGGTCCCAACAGTTATTCCAGTCATTGTGCTCATCATTTCCTGTTACCTCGTCATGGCACCAATCATTCAGCAGCCAAGAATTGAATTTTTTTATGCTACGTTATTTATCCTGAGTGGTCTTCTCTTCTACGTTCCCTTTGTTTTATTCAACGTTAAAATCAAGTTTCTTGGTAAATATTGACACTTCAGTTGTTTTCTCGATTATGTCTCTCTTGCAATAATAATTAGCAATCTTATTATAGCAAGCTACTTTAAAACAGCATTATTGGCTACTTTAATAGATCTGAATTTTTTTTTTTGTTTTTAAAATCTGAAATGTTTACTTTTGAAGAGTTATCGACCTGTAACAAGTTATGTGTATGGATTAAAAACGATTCCCTAAAATCAAAAGAATATTGTACAGTTCCTCTTAAATCAGATACTGATGGACTCAGAGTCTTACAGCCTGTGCTAACTACCATTTTGTTGAAGTCAAACTTTATGAAATGTACATTGAAGTCGATTTAATATCTTAATGACAAAATTTTAAAAAAATTAGCTATCCTTATCATAGGAAAAGCACTTCAAACTTTATAACATTTTATTTGTATCTTGGAAAGTTTGTCAAAACTAGATTTTGCTAATTTTTGTGGCCTGATGAAGAAAGCTGGCTTGATAATAACAAAGGCATGCAAAATTAAGTTAGACAAAGTTTCATGAAAATGAAATTTTTTAAATAAATATAATTAGTAATAAAACAGTGTTAGTTGACCTTTTCTTTTGGATATCATGGCATTTAGACAAGACGTGTTTTCACTGTAGAGCTAAGTCCAAAATTGTGTTACTGTTTGTCTTTTGTCTAATCTGTAACCATTTCCATACTGTTGTGTGGTGACGAAGACCTTGGGTCGAAACGTCCATAGTATTTATAACTGTCTTTAACTTGTGAGGTAACTAACACTATTTGTTTTAATACTAGTTGAATTAACCTCACTGCAGCTGCCATTTGTAAATAAATATAATCATGATAAAAGTTAGTTTATTAAAAAAATTTCACTATCTCAGAACTACGAAATTTAGACGTCAAGCTTTGCTAAATGACTCTTCAATTCATATAGTCTAAGTATTTTGTTAAAGATTTTAGTTTAGTTTGCAAAAAATTAATCAGGGGCTTGAATATTTCAGAGCCGTTCACAACTTTTATTCAGTGCGCCCTGGAAGTGGCACCAAGCAGATATGCACCGCCAGAATGAAGAGCTTTAGGACTAAAGAAAGCTGTCACACAGTTATTTATACACATGTTGCATGTTATGATGCCATTAAAGATGTTTGGATTCTATCTGCTCAGATCACACCAAAAAAAATCTTTCATTGTTGTGTTTGCCCGGTTGCTAATTATTAACTAATTAATTGACAACTAATTCCAATAACATGAGCTATGCTGACAAATCATTATATTATTCCATCAAATGTCATAAAAATAATGAAAAGCTTGTATTGCAGTTTGATATAAGTTTCTCTTCAATGCTCTTTTAAAAAGAGGTATAAAGTAGAGAGAGACAGATATGGCTATTATGTTGACGCTGATAATTATAGTTTTGGTTTTTACTTTTTCATCCTGTTTGATAAAGTCATTTTTAAAAGTTATTTAATTAATAAAAAAACAAAGCCTTTAAATCATTGACTACAGAAAAATATTTTTATGGTAAATTTTAAAAGACGTAACCTTTAATTTGAAATCATTTATTTTATTCATCAAAAAAAAAAAACTTTGAAAATTTTCAATGCCAATTTATTGTTTTTTCCCCACAAATAAGTAGGTCTACTGTAACTGTTTTTTTTTCTTCACATTTTTATTTTTTCAGAGTCCTCTAAATTGTTTATCTCAGCTTTGTTATATTTATGATTTCATGGATGGACTAGATATCTCCAACATGCTAGATGCATGTTCAAGTATCTTTGTGTGATATACAAAGTGGTAGAGGCTTGAGTAGAACCAACCAAAGAAATATTTTCCATGTAGCCAGTCTATGGTGATCTCAAGGCATTCTGTACATAACATGTTTAGTTATGAAGTCTTTCACTAAGATGTCTAGCCAGTTCAGATCCAAAGATGTGTTGATGTATACATATAGGTATGTTGGGTGATGTCTAACTAGTTCAGATCCAAAGATGTATTTATATATACATATAGGTATGTTGGGTCATGTCTAACTAGTTCAGATCCAAAGATATATTTATATATGCATTAAAGTACGTGGGGTGATGTCTAACTAGTTCAGATCCAAAGATATATTTATATATGCATTAAAGTACGTGGGGTGATGTCTAACTAGTTCAGATCCAAAGATTTACGATTTGTTGATATATGCATTAATGTACGTGACTGGATGTCTAACTAGTTCACATCCAAAGATATGTTTGTATATGCATTAAGGAACCTTGGTTGTTGCCATAGCACATGTGTGTGTGTTTGAAGTATGAAAATGGCTGACAAAGATTAGTTGTATTTATCGTAACATACTCATAAATATTTATTTTCCTGATAGTCTGCAGTTAATGAGTTGTCGATTTTAAAATAATGTTTTTACAAACCAATACTGTTGTTATTTAGTTGGTTTTTTTAGCTTCTAACCAAAGAGATTTGAGGAGATTTAAATACAAAGAACTATTGAATTATTGAGATTCTATTTTTTTAAACGCGTGTATTGCATTTGAATTGACTGATATATAAATATGACTTTGAATACACATATAACAACAATTTATTATTTTTCTATTTTTAACAAAGTAAGTAAAGAGATAATGTATTTCTTAAAATAATTTTGTTATGTTATGTAGTTTACAGTTACTTATTCTCAACACTTTTAAAAGTATGTGAATGTTGCTTTGATTTTTATTTATTGTTTTGGCCAAATTTATCAAAAAATAAATGGTCAATTGGTTTTTATCTATTTGGTGAAAGAAACATGATTTTAACAAAAATGTATATTTAAATAAAATAAAAATTATGATTGTGATATTACGTTGTATTATTTAGTTAACAACATATCAGATGATAAATCAAGTTTCCAGAAAGACTAGTGTCTTATCAAGGCTTAACAGAAAAATCTGTTAATTTTTTTATTACCAAACTGAAGCCCAATACCCCCAGAAGTTATTGTAGTCATAACAAAAGTTGGCTTCAGAATAGTGATAATAATTGTCTATTCATCAGAATAGTGATAATAATTGTCTATTTCTTCAATCTGTTGATCAAGGTTGAGTGTAGAGATTTGAAAATTAAATAATACTTACATCATTAAGTGAAGATACTTTATTCTGTCAATGAAAGTTTTGCTTTAGGTGTAAGTTTTCTTTTATCCTATGTCATTTTAAAATTGAAATAAATTCAGGTTTTTTTAACATGGTAAAAACTTTGTGGCCTGTGCCATAAGACAATCATTGTGTTGTAGAAATGTTTGGTGTTTGTTTTCACATACTGGTGTTACATTTATGTGATAATAACATGTGTTTTAATATGTAACAAATTTATTTACTAAATCACCCCTAATGATTGATACTAAGTATTAACTACATATTAATACCAGTAAGTTTAAAAGTTTAAGTTAGACATATTTCAACTGAAAATATTAATTTATATCGTTTACCCCCAAGAGTTTTAGCATGGTTTTTTTTTTTTTGCTTGGACTTGTTTGTCCAGGCTCTCATAATAATTCTTAATATCTAAAATTTATTACTTTTACTATTTTTTTAAATTTTTACAGAATTATTATTTAATATAGCATATCATAAAATACATATTTTACATTTTTTTTCTTATTTATAATATATCTTTTACGTTGTCTTCCAAAATTGTATTATGATGATTTTTTATTGTGTCATGTTTTAAAATCTTTGACCTATCTCATTAGGTTAGTGCTGCTGATAATGTATGATGGGTAAGGATTTTTACCAAGAAGGTTTCATGTTTCTAAAGTAAAGTCTTTAACAGTTTAGTTAGATAGTTTCACATCTTTTCATCTACCATGTTGTGTTGAAGTGTATTATACTGGAATCATGCAGTGCTGTTGATCTTTTAGCTTCTAATTGTAAAGAGTGGCATAACCATTTAAACAGATTTATATTGTTTTTTTTTAACATCACTACAAGAATGTTTGATCATGTTGTAGTTAATCTATCACTATAAGTTATAAGAGCATCATATAGTTGATTCACTCTCACTGACAATCATAAGGAACATGGCATTGTTTACTATCATAGTGGGTAAGGCTTTAAAGGTGTCTTCACTTATAATGGTCCATGATTGCAACTAGATCTTAAATATTGGCTCAATACATTTTTTTAGGTTGAAATAAATTTTTTCTTTAAGTGAATGCACAATGTTTTTTGAGATTATTATAACGTGTGAATGTAGAGTGTGATAAAACGTATTTACAAACATAAGAAACCATTTTAAAAAGTTGAGCATTTTTTAAAAATTAATTTGATTGAACAAAAAGAAGTAACATTTAACTGTAACTAATAATAATAGGCTTACTGGTTAGTTCAACCAAATTGAACATGTAAAGCTAGGTCTATAAAGAAATATATGATGATGTTGTTAGCTCTTATTTTAATTAATTGTTAAACACATTTTTATGCACCATATGTTAGCAAAAAGATCACAGAAATTATTAAAAAATCTGTACAAGATAGCAACCAGTGAAGCAGTTTTCAATTTTTTCCACAGGAAAAAAGTCATGACTGGTGGCTTGTAGTTGTACTAGTTGTAGACCGTGTCGACTCAGTCAAGCTTTGGTTACTAAAATACGTAAGAGATCTCATGGGCGACAAAAGATTTTATTAAAGTGTTGTATTTTCTTATGTTCGGTGCATTCAAAAGCTCGTTATTGTAAATGTTCTTTATATTTGTTTTATTTTCCACTATTTAGTCATTTGTTCAAGGTTACGATTAAAAATACTTGTTTCGAAACCCGACCAATAGCTTCAAAAGACAGTTGTCCCTAGTTTGTGGACAAAACCCAGACAGCCAGCCTTGACCACACATGCGTGAACCAGAGCTCAGCAGACTGATTGGACAAACATGTCTAGCTAGTTATCTCCCCTTTTATTATTGATTTTTAGAAATTTTTAATGATAAATCTGATGTATGATTTGATTTAAAAAAAAAAAAAAAGGTATCCGTGTACTGTCATCAAAGACGAACGTATCTGGAAAGTTTGAACAAAATCACTACATGAGAAGTGAGTAAGAAATTAGTTACAAGATTTGCCACAAATCCACAAACAAACTGACGTAAAGTAAGTAAAAGCTTGTAAAAAGCAGAAATTAATGATTTAAAATATTCCAATTCAAACAATCATCTGATGCCTGTTACAAGATGAATGTAAACAATCATGGAATGATTGTGTGGGGGAAGCTGAGGCATAAAAGCATCCAGAGAGCAGGTAGAGATTTAGTTTAAAGATAAGTAAGATAGGCTACACTAAACTGTAATAGTTTAAAGATAGGCTACACCACACTAAACTGTAATAGTTTAAATAAAGATAAGTAAGATAGGCTACACCACACTACACTACACTGTAATAGTTAATAGTTTAAAGATAAGTAGATAGGCTACACCACACTAAACTGTAATAGTTTAAATAAAGATAAGTAAGATACTAAAAAGATAGGCTACACCACACTACACTGTAATAGTTAATAGTTTAAAGCTACACCACATAATATTTGTTATGAAACATTGAAGGAAATAAAATAGCATTGATGATAGGCGGCAGTTAGCTATTGAAAAGATTTTAACGAGTCGAACCTGTCTGTAAATACATTTTTTTTGTTGAAGCAACAAGCTTTTAATTGCATGGAAAATTTAAAAAATAAAACAAACTCGTTTTTCATAAGAGTTATGTTATTTTAATCAGATTGTCTTCCCTTTTATTATTGAGTCTAGTAAACTCAACTGGTAATCTATCGTTTTGGGTACGTAAAATCGCCCGCGGCTATTAATGTACGAAAACGTTACCTCATTATCAAGGCTGTAATATTGTATATTGTGATATGTTTGTGTCAAATATTATAGATAAATGAATAATAAACCTAAATCAATGGTTAAATATATCAATATAGGCCAGAAATTAACTTTAAACAGCAGTGTCTGCAAGCAAGATTTGCTATATAAACAGCAGCCATTTGTAAAATAGAGTGACTTCCGCCTTTTACAAGATGATTGGCTGTGTTATAGTAAATGAGCATGGTTGCATCTGTTGGAAACATCGCTGGTGTTCATTTATTAGTGAAAAGTTTTAGTTCAATTGTTTAAAAACAGGTACATAAATGAAACAAGGAAACATTTTTGTATTTTTCAAAACATAAATTCTCCTCAAAATGTGAAATAATTATTACAATGTAAGGAGTCACCTGTTTTTCACATTACTAGTCGCGGGCGATTTGACGTAGGCCTACCTAAAACGATAGATTACCACTCAACTTTTTAATTACCATTGAAATTTTAAATGTCGTAAGAGACGAATATATCTGTAAAGTTTAAGAGAAATCGTTGCATTAGACATGTCACGAGCAGAGACGACAGTAAAGGTTTATAAAAACAAAAGTTTTCAAAAGAGGACCGGCACAATAACATCCGATATCTGACAACGTTGGCCAGATAACAAAAACAAACACTTGTTGCCAGAGTGACGACAGGAAAATTGTCACCGATCTCTAGGATGTTTTTGTTGAATTATCAACTGTAGTCTTAGTTCGGTGATGACGAGTTGTTTGAACAGTACCTGCTGTCATCGCGACATAAGTGACATGTGTCATAGACAATACTGACATGTGTCATGGACAAAAGTGTAGTGAAGAAACGGTGAGGATGTTGTTTTTTTTAAAGTCGGACATGTGGAAAAGTAGACTTAAAAAATATTGACCCTGTTTGAAGATTCACATTTCAGTAAATGACGTCAGCCGGTCTCCTACTATTGCAAGAAAATATTTGCCTGGTACACAATTCAAAGTGGGGTTTTGTCATGTGGTGGGGGGGGGGGGGGGGTTAAAAAACAAACATACACACACGCATACATACACGCATACACACACACACACATGTACACACTCAAAACTCCTTCCTACGACAATGTAGAGGTGAAAGATGTTTGGTTATATTGTAAATATACTAAAATAATTGACACGTCAAAGATGTTTGGTTATATTGTAAATATACTAATATAATTGACACGTCACAGATGTTTGGTTATATTGTAAATATACTAATATAATTGACGCGTCAAAGATGTTTCAAGATGTGATGACGTATATTACATGTCACGTGTATTCCGTCTCATGTTAAGCCATTGTGGGTGTCTCCTGTAGATCAACAATCGTTACAAAAAGACAAGTCAGATTTTGGCAGCCCACCAGTGTAAAATCTGGACAATCGTTTTTATCTTGTTTGTTCTGTCTGTGTTCGTTGTTTTAGGAGAGGGGCGGATGACAGGATGGAAAAAAACAGCAATGTCCTTAGATGTAGGACACAATGATGTCCTTAGATGTAGGTCACAATGATGTCTTTATTTATGTAGGACACAACGATGTCCTTAGATGTAGGTCACAATGATGTCCTTAGATGTAGGACACAATGATGTCCTTGTAGGACACAATGATGTCCTTAGATGTAGGTCACAATGATGTCCTTAGATGTAGGACACAATGATGTCCTTAGATGTAGGTCACAATGATGTCCTTAGATGTAGGACACAATGATGTCCTTGTAGGACACAATGATGTCCTTAGATGTAGGTCACAACGATGTCCTTAGATGTAGGGCACAGTGATGTCCTTAGATGTTGCACAATGATGTCCTAAGATGTAGGACACAACGATGTCCTTAGATGTAGGACACAATGATGTCCTTAGATGTAGGACACAATGATGTCCTAAGATGTAGGACACAATGATGTCCTAAGATGTAGGTCACAATGATGTCCTTAGATGTAGGTCACAATGATGTCCTTAGATGTAGGACATAGTGACGTTGGACACAGTGATGTCCTTAGATGTAGGACACAGTGATGTCCTTAGATGTAGGACAGCGATTTCCTGCCATGTAGGACACCGTATGTTTACACGAAGGACAAAGTGATGAACAAAGTCAGCCAGTGACAGCAAAGAGAGATAACAAATAAAATCAGAAGACGACACGAGTTATGTGACTTTAGAATCAAAGCACGACATTGAGCGTTAAGCAAAGACAATCTGCCGGAGTGGGGCTTTGGTAGCGCTGTCAGTCGTGTGAATCGTGTGCCACGGTGATGGGATATGAGGGGAGGGGGGGGGGGTCTTAAAACTTGTATTGTTGTTATCTATTAATAATTTTTTTTAAAATAATCTCCCCTACTCCAACAATTGCTCTGTTTACAGTTTACTGAATTATTTGGCTTTAAGCTATATATATTGTTACGATCCCATGAGGGGGATCTTACCTTTTTTTGGACATGGTTGAACGTGGGTTAATTAGGGTGTCACCTAGAGATTTATGGATGGGGAGAACTCTCGACGTGAACCCCCTTTTTTGTGGTCGGGCCAGGCCGTAATGAGAGATGCCACGGACTGGCGCAGGTCGTGAAAGAGACAAAGGGTGGGATGTTATTGTTGATGCTAGCGGGTTACACCCCCCCCCCCTTCTCACCTGAATCGCCTGGCCTGGTAATAGGTATGTAAATGTAGGGAAAAGCCGTACGAGAGGTTAAGTCAGGACATAGACCCCTGCACCTCGACTGGACTATTTTAGGAGGGGTAGATGGCAGTCTGCGAGGTGTTACGACTGTGGGGGCGTATATAGCAGGGTAGGGTTGACAACAGACGTGACCCAGATTGAACAGGTCTAGATGGAGACAATCAACGAGGCACGTGTTAGAATTAGGTTACATTTACGGACGACGGCATCAATGAGGGTAGTATATTAGCAGGGTCTGACAATTTAATCAGGTACCCCAGACCTGTTGGCGACATTTAATTAGGTTAGGCTTGAGTGGGAAGTGTTGGTGCATAATTAGCCCCGCACCTGGACATTCGTGAGTCCGTTATTTAAGGAGGGGGAGACAGACACTCTGGAGAGACACTCAGTCAGAGCTCACGAGTCACACACGGAGACGGACTCGGATAGCTAGGTCTAGACGAGACAGACATGGGGCGTCTCTGTGAGCTAGTGGACAACCAAGAGATGCCTGTACTGTAGTAGACCTAGGCTAGTTAGACAGTTAGGGACAAGTAGGGTAGTCGTACTAAGAACTTTAGTTGTTTGTAGCTATTTGTGTATATTTCTGATTGTTGTACTTTGGTGGCGGGTTAACTTTAAGTGTTGTAATTTGTGGAA